GCCCGTTGTTAATAAACCATTGCGTCAAACAGTACAAGATTAGTGAGGTTGTTGCCTAGGTGCTGGTTGGATAGTATAGTGGATGATTTGAGTGCGTGTCAAAGGAATGATACAAAATAGTTACACAAAACAGATGCATGTCAAAGCAAGCCAAAGTAAAAAGGTCTTAATTGTGCAGTCTCGCTATAATCCCCCGAAATCCCAGATAACAAAAGCAAATGAACCGCTATCCCTCTCCACAATCCCTCCACCGCCCTCTCATAAGTATTCCCAGACCTCTTGATGCGATATCTCCCAACGCCTTGGTATGCCAGTCGTAAGATGAGATCGAAAAAAAGTCAAATGCCGTAAGAGCCGAGAACTCCAATGAAAAAGGCAGAAAGAAAAGGAAAGAAAAGCCAGTCCAGATATTATTTGTGAAGCGCTCCAGAGGTATCAATGCTATATCAGTGAAAAGACCTAAGTGTCCTTAGACTTGAAGACACCGTCAACTCCAGGCTCAGAGTCGCCATAAACTTCAGCGTCGAAGCTGTCTTCGTCTTGATAGTCGGAAGGCTTCTCATTGATACTGGGAGACTTCCAGTTGTTCGGTGTCGAACGCAGCAAGTTGTGTCCGGGGATAAAGGTGTTCAAAGCCACGGGGGCAGCAGGTGGCGTAATTTCAAGAATGAGATCGTCCACGTCCTCCTCCGAAATAACACTACCACCAATGGGGGAGCAAAAGTCGTGAGAGCCCAAGTCGCTACCGTTGTCCACAGTCGTTGATTTGCGGATATTCGCAATGTCAAAATCGTGGTCATTGTTTTTAAACTTGCGGTTGATACCGCCCTTCAGCTTGCCATGAATGTCAAAATTCGGAAGCTTAGAGTTATCAAAACCACCCGCAGGCTGAGACTCACCAACTTTACCGATATTTAGGATTAGCTCGGCTGTAAGTTTGGTGACTTGATCACTCCCGGTATAGTTGTCGTCATTACCCGCCGTAACTGCCTCCTCGCAACTGCCAATTGGTGTACAATCATCCCCGGGCTTGTTGTCGTGCCTCTGCTTCTAGCGGTGACCTTGCAGGGAGAATTGAGCTCTCAAGGCCAAAATCTGCTGCTTCTCGGCTTCGGGAAGCATGTCAATCGTCTCTTGAGGTAGCTCCATGACAGCACGCATCAGGGCCTCAGGGTCCTGAGCAGGAGGGGGGGCAGCGACAGGAGGAGGCGCGGCACCAGGGACCGGAACAACCGGGGCAGCGACGGGAGGGGCGGCATAACCACCGACTGGAGTGCCGGTCGCCGCAGGGACAGGGTAGCCGCCATAGTTGGCGGGGACAGCCGCAGGAGGCGGGGCAACGCTCACACCAGTGTCGAGGACGGAGTTGATGGCGTCCGGTGACACCAAGCCCATGATCAACAGGGCCTGGAAAACAGCATAACCAAGCTGGGGAGCTTGGTTCAACAGCTCGGCGCAGCGCGCAGGGTCGTTGGTCGCCAGCGTCTTCATCTGCTGGATGATGTCCAGCAGCTGCGCCGGGGGCAGGGTGCGAAGCGTTTGCGATATGGCATCGGTGCAGCTCACACCAGGAGGGAGATCTTTGCCCTGGGGCAAAGGAGGGAGCGACGAACCGCCCGCGGGGACGACCGGCGCGGCAACGTTGTTACCGTTCGACGGCGCCGAGTAACCGGCAGCAGAAGGGCCCTGGAAAGTATTAGTTTGGATGAATCTCGGATAAAGAAATATCGAGACTTACAGCAGCGTCACGGTCACGACCATCTTCGTCGCTGACCGTTTCATTGCTAAAGTCGACACGCAACTTCCGTCCCATAATCTCATAATCATTCAAGTTTCGGACGGCTGAAGAAGCAGAGTCTAAGGGAATAAAAAGTCAGCAAAAGTAACTTTGAGTATGCGGCTCTGCGACATTTCCACGCCACAGGCCGGTGTCATGTCAGCCTTGAAGAGACTACTTACCGTGGTCAGGGAACTCAGCGAAACCAAAGCCCTTGGGGCGACCAGTCTCTCGATCATAGACGAGGCGAAAGTTCAGGACGCGACCAGCACCACTGAAGATTTCAGTGATTTGCTCCTCGGTGAGTCCTGCAGATAACGGGTTGTTAGCAATCGACTTTGAAAAGACGTAATATGATCTCGACGACTTGCCATATGGGATGTTGCCCACGAAGACGACACGAGAGGGCTGTCTGTTTGACATCTTTGCGATCAGAGGATGCGCAAAGCCTGGAGTGAAAAGAGTCGCTTTGAAAATTCGGTGGAAATAAGTAATTGACTGGCAGAGAGTCGATGACTAATTGAAATGGAAGTCGCGGCGTCAATGTTGTCTCGGCGAAGGAAGGGGAAAAAAGGCTGGTTGCGATGATGCGTTGCGCTTCGATGCGATGCGAAGCAGTAGTTGACAAGTCACCCTGGTCTTGAGAGGCGCGAAGGGCAAAATCCGTGGAAGGAACAATCAAATTCACCACAATAGGTGTGAACTACCGATAGCAATTGGGACTTGAATTGCTCCTTCTCATCCAATATCACACTGGCCGCTAAATTTTTACAAAGACTGTGCAAGACCGTCTGAACTTGCTCACTTTGGCGACAACTGGGCGATGGTGGTGGGGGACAATTGACTGGATGTTGATGGAGCAATCGGAAGGTGAGGTTCAATTCTTGGGCTAAAAATGTATGGAGCAAAGTACCCCAGTACCGTGAACCAGCCTGGATTTGGCCAAGCTTTGAGGCGCGAAGAGCAAGGATGTGAATGTCACGAGAGCACGTGATATGGGTTTGGAGAGAGGTGGCCCATGCGTGCTGGGAACCCTGCTTCCTGCAAGTGGTGTTCGTCAGCGATGAAGAGAAGCGACTGGTTCCACACCTCGTGAAGCTGCAAGCTCTTTCTCCACAGCGCAAACCAGCTGCCATTCAGCACCAGCCACTATACCTAGACAACAGACAAGATGGCGAACCGCAATCCCTTCCAGGATTATATGAACAAGCTGCAGTATGCGGCCCAACAAACTCGCTCCGGAGGCAGAATGCCCGGCGGAGGTGGTGGCATCGCAGGAGGGGTTGCTGCTCTCGCTGTCCTTGGTGGTGGCGCCTTGCTGTTTCAGAGTGCGCTGTTCAACGTCGATGGTGGTCACAGAGCGATCAAGTACCGGAGAATAAGTGGTGTCAGCAAGGATATCTATACCGAAGGTATGTTGGGTTTAGACATTACACTCTTGCTGTAGAGACAGACTAACTGACTTATAAATATTCACACAGGAACTCACTTTGTCGTCCCATGGTTCGAGACTCCTATTGTCTACGATGTTCGTGCTAAGCCGAGAAACGTTTCTTCCCTCACCGGTACCAAGGATCTTCAAATGGTCAACATCACCTGCCGTGTCCTCTCGAGACCCGAAATCACCGCCCTTCCTCAGATCTACCGCACTCTCGGCACCGACTATGACGAGCGTGTCCTCCCTTCGATTGTCAACGAAGTGCTGAAGAGCGTTGTTGCCCAGTTCAATGCCAGTCAGCTGATCACACAAAGAGAAATGGTTGCCAAGCTGGTTCGTGAGAACCTCTCCAGGAGAGCTGCGCGCTTCAACATTCTTCTGGACGACGTGTCTTTGACGGTGGGTTCCTCTTTGTGGAAATCACATTGCTTAACAAACCGCTAACAATTTATTAGCATCTTGCCTTCTCTCCTGAGTTCACAGCTGCCGTTGAAGCCAAGCAGGTTGCCCAACAAGAGGCTCAACGTGCCGCATTCATCGTCGACAAGGCTCGCCAGGAGAAGCAGGCCATGGTTGTCAAGGCTCAGGGTGAGGCTCGCTCTGCTGAGCTCATTGGTGAGGCTATCAAGAAGAACAAGTCATATCTGGAGTTGAAGAAGCTGGAGAACGCTCGTTCCATTGCCCAGATCATCCAGGAGGCTGGTGGCAAGAACAGACTGCTCCTTGACTCTGAAGGTCTTGGGTTGAACGTCTTTGATGAGGAGAACAAATAAGGAAGCTGTGTTTTGAAAGAGGTGGGAATGGAGGTATTGAATCAATCTCCACTGTCTGTATGTATAGGCTGAACATTTTACAAAGCCCCTGTGTATGAGTACGTTGGTGAAAAGATGCATTGAAGAAGTCATGAAGTGTCTGGAGTTGGCGGTCAGAGTCACACATTTTGAGAAACTTATTTGTTCATCCCGTTTATTTTTGAGTACATTGTCAGCATAATGGTCTTTATTGCCCCTTAAGTAACAGCTCCAGCAGCTCAATAAGGCTGAACAATTAATGGGCCTCATCCATTACCAAGCAGCCCCCAGCGAGCCAAGCCTGAGGCTCACCCACCAACCCCACACAAACCGACCGACCCGCGGACCCACAATCAACCTACCTGCCCCACTAACCCCTCCTTGCGGCCGCCTGCTGGGACAGCAGCTGCCATCGATGGCGGGTGGCTCACTTGGCGACTGCTGCCTCTCGAGCTTGCCAGCATTGCTGACCGGTGTAGTATTCTTCCTCTTTCTGCCAGCAACAACATTCACCACCATCCCACGAGTGCTTGATCTTGAAGAACAACAACCAACAGATAGACAACTATCCCTTATTTCACCCAAGAATCACTTAGTGGAAAGACACAAAAGCCAAACGCCAAGATGCTCGTAAAGTCCGTTCAGCCCCGCCATACCGTGCTTGCGCGATGAACTGACTGACGGGTGGGATAGAGTACGCACCCTCACCGGAAAGGAAATCGAGCTCAACGTCGAGGGCTCCGACAAGGTCTCCAAGATCAAGGAGCTGGTGGAGGAGAAGGAGGGGATCCCGCCCGTGCAGCAGAGGTTGATCTTTGGGGGGAAACAAATGTACCCTCCCCCACACCACCACTACCACCACCACCACCACTTATTTTGAGTGTGTTAATAGTTGCTAATGATGGTAAAAAACCAATAGGGTCGACGACAAAACCGCTGATGACTATGGGCTTGAGGGTGGCGCGACGTTACATTTGGTTTTGGCGTTGAGGGGTGGGCTTTAAAAAAGAAAGAAAAAAATGATAGGGAGGGAAAGGGGATAATGGGGGTGGTAGCTGTAAAGGGTTATGAATATAGGCAATACGGCAGAGTGGGAAAGTTTGGCTGTTGTTAGGTACAACAAGATGAGGCAAACAAGGTGATGATGATGGTGGACATCAGCGCTGTGGAGGAAGGGTGACAGTGTTTTGTTGAGGAGGTAGCGTAGATGGTGGGTAGGTGGGATCGAGCGTCTTATGGGATATGATCTTGCCTTGCCTAGGGAAAGTCACTCATGAATGAAGAATGCATATTTACATCAGTCTTCGCCTCGTGTGCTGAACCGAATATATGGATGGAGATCAAGATGCTGAACACGATCAGAAGCAATTCGAGTCTTGGAAAACCCATCACTTAAAAACGATATATAAGCAGAAGTAAAGCCCCGTATAAAAGCCCATCCATTCAATCGATCATCGTACACATTCATATAACCATAGGTCATGCCCGTGTAAAAACCATTCCATTCATCCCTCCATCGTACACCAACTTCCAGATAGGCACCGCTTAATCTCGGGTATCTGCTTGTATCAAGCTTAAAAAACCATCTCAACGCCTGCTGAAAATGCCAACCATCCTCGCTGATTTCCATGCAAATCCCAAAATTCGAATTCCCCCACAAAATGCATCCCTTCTACGTTCCCTAACGGGGGACCCGCTTGCTCGGACGCATGAAAATGTCCACAGGTTTGCGCTTGCGGACGATAGGAGCAGCGGGCCCCCTAGAGCCGACAGCAGGCGAGTTGCTAGCACCCGCAGGCGCGGGTGCGGGCGAGGTCTCGCCAGTGAACGACTTTGGTGGCGAGCGGGCCGCCACCGGTGCCTTGATGGCGCCAGGCGTCGCAGAGAGAAGACCACGGGGTCTGGCGACGGGTTGTTTCTTGGGAGAAACGACCCTCTCCACCGCGGCTTCGAGTTCCTCCACAGACAGGCTTCCACGCTGGGGAGGACTGGCGGGTTCGTCATCACCAAACAAGTCGTCACCCCCATTGCTGGGGATGTGGTCGTCTTCATCATCGCTGAAGGAGATGATGTTGGCTGGTTTGGCGATGGCGGTGCCCTTGCCCTTGATTGAAAGGAGCCGGTTCTCGCGTTCTTTGCGGTCACGATCACTGACTGTGGTGTCAGAGGCCTTTCTGATTGGGGCGTTGACAATGGTGGCAGCGGCGTCGAACTGGCGATTGATACGAGCGTCGTTCTGCATGGCAATTGGTGCCTGTCTGATTTGGCTTTGCCTGACAGGAATGCGGCCAGCGGGGTTGGAGAGCTTCAGACGACTGGTCTCAGCGGCGACTTGCCTCTTGGCCTTAGCAATGAAAGTCTTCTTCGGGCGAGGCTGAGAGGACCAGTGGCCGGCTTTGGGACCCTCGCGTTGGCGTTGCGAATAGTGAAGAGGCAGTCGGCGAGATTCAGGAACAGAGATAATCTTGGCTTGACGGGAGGAACGCTGGCCATTGGCATCTTCCATTTTCTTCATGAAGGCATTGGTAGCCTCTTCGAGCTGTTGGTTGTAGACCGTCTCGTACTTCTTATAGACTTTGTACCAAGACTTTGGGTCCTTTGGCTGCCAACTATACTGAGCAGCAAGCGTTTTGAAGTCGCGCTCGATAAGATGCTTCCAATCTATCGACCAATGTTAGCAATGAGTCCCGAGCCAAGGGCAAATAATGGCAGAACTTACGAGATGGTGAAACTTCGTAGATTCGCTCATCTGTCTCCTGCTCGAGGGTGTGAAGGTGCTCGGCGGTCTTCACGGCCCTGAGGACCGGCTGCAAGAGGTGGGTAGGCATGTCTCCTAAGCTTGGGATGTCTTGAATGTTTCTAATTGCGACATCAAGAGCCATGTCGAGAAGAGGACGAGGACCGTTCCTCCGAAAAGGGCCGGTAGATATTTGAAGCTCCATGATGACTGAAAGTGGGTCTCACCCGTGGTGACAATAGTGGTGACAATAGGGTGGAAGTCGAACAATGGAATCAATAGAAAGTTGCGGGGCGGGTGGCTTGGAGTTGGAGATGTTGCTCTCGTAGAATTTGCTCGTTGTGCGCCGACCGTCGTCCAGAACTGATCCAATAAGCACCTTCGAAAAGACACAGATGATGTTCAGGGAAGGTGATGGTGAGACCGTAAAGAGGTCCGGGAAAACGGGCCTTTAACCAGGGAAGTTGTGATCAAAGGTAGATTCTATTAGATATCCTTTTGCGCAAAAAATCATTGCACCATCCAGCTCAGAAGTGTACGAAAGTATCACCAAAGTCGAGAATCAAGTGAGATCCAGAAGGTTTCAAGATAGGAGGTTGCGACTCTCTTTTATACAACCGTCACCTGCTACTAGGGTGCCCGGGCCACATGAGCCTCGGGACCCGCATCGCGGATCCACCAATCCCCAATAGGCTAGTGCAGATCTATTCATTGTCTGGCAGCCCATTTGAGGAACTTGAGAGCATTGTCGATGCATATGCCTGGTCGAGAATGATTCTTTAAAACGGCATCTAGTTTGACTATTTGACGTATTCCCGCAGAGTTTCCAAACGGAGTTTTCGCTCGTCGCGGTTGGTAACTCTGGCAGAGCAGGTACGGAGTACAGTAGATTCTCCAATCTCCGTCACGGACATCTCTTGGCATTGACCTCTCGGCGCGCCAGGGTCCAGGGAAGCCGCAAACTGCCCAAGAAGCTGGATTGGCGCGCAAACTGCGCTCTTCAAACCTGACAACAAACTTTCAACCGCTGCACTTCTGTCCCCAACAACCACCATCCTGACCGAAGTTACCATAGCTCCATCCACGGAGCTACTGAAACCAAACTTACGCGTAAATACCTAATTGCGGGTACTTGAGGCGATTTCGCACTTTCCAGAGAAATCGGCCGAGATCGACAGCATCTTGTGACGCCAGTATTGTCGAACCACTCAGAGTGCCACGAGCCTCCCACCCAGTTTCACACTTATACCAGATCCCCAAATGGAGCGACCAGAAGGCTGGGGCCTCCTAAGCGAAAAAGAAGAAAATGAACTCCACAAAGCCCGACTCCTCGCCGTAGAAGAGAAGGCCTACAAGCGCATCACCAAGCGCATCAACACCCTCTACCGCTTCGCAGACCCCATCCTCATGCGAGAGCCAGAAAATTACCCGTCCCAAAAAGATGACACCTCCAGCCCAGCCCCTACTCCCGCCGCTGTCCCCGATGTCACCACCCCGAGACTCGACTACGCCCGAATGTACCAAGACATCACCCTCGACTTCGCCGCCTTTGACAGCAGCATGGAGCGCCTCCAATTCCTCTTCACCGCCAACGAAAAGGACAGGCAACACTACGCCCAAGAGCGCGAGCGAATCAAGCGCGACATCACCTCTGTCCGCGCCAACATCATCCACCTCAATCAGAAATTGGAGCAGGCGAAAGAGACGCAGGAGCAGCGGAAGCAGTTTGACAAGTTGGCGGATGAGATCACAAAAAATCCAGCTTTGCGCGCTCGGGAGGAGCAAAAGGCGGCTATAAGGAAGCTGCAAGATGAAATTGCCGAGCTCAAGGCGGAGAGTTCTACCTACAGCGACACATGGGTCGAGCGCCGCAATCAGTTCTCTAGGATCATGGATGAATCTATGGCACTTCGGCGGTTGATCAGGGATGAGAAGGAGGAAGTTGAGAGAAGGGAGGGTATGGATGAGTCGAATGAGGCAGAGGCTGGACAGACGCCTAGGCCGGGAACGCCTGGCGGGAATGCTACTCCTAGGGGGGAGAGCGGACTTAAGAACTCGATTGAGGCTGGGGATGTGGTTGGCACTCCTAGGGCGATGTCCACGGCGGGTGGTAGGACACCTGCTAGGGAGAGTCCCGCGCCGTCGACGCAGGATAATGGGTCGTTTCTGAAGCCGGGGAATGCGCTGGGGGCAAGCTTTGGGAGTGGTGGGCAGAGTAGGGAGGGGACGGCGGAGCATAGGACTGAGCAAGAGGAGCGGGAGGGGAGGGATCAGGGTGATGTTGAGATGGAGGATGAGCCGCCGAGGGATGATGAGTCGGAGCCGGATAGCCCTCTGTCTCCCCCGCCAGCGGACTTGCCTCAGATTTTGGTGGACGGACAGGGCGATAGTATGGATACCACATGAACACGGAAAATGACAGACATGGTTAAGGAGGGCGCAATGCAATGTAAAGATATCGTCTGATTGTTGCTAGATATCCTGTCTAGGCAACATTTAACACTCAACTGAGCCAAGAACAACTACTTGTTAGATAGCGTTAATACCAACAATGTAATGTAAACTGGTACAATATAAATCAATTTGTAGTTCAAGCACCTCATCGTCAAATAATATTAATTATGAACACGGCCTACTTGCTTTTCTTCCATGAAATATCTACTACTCCTGCTTAGCAACCTTCTTCCCACTCTCCACAGCCTCCCTCGCCTTCTTCAGCTCCTCCTCCTTGCCCTCCGCCCCATCGCTCTCCGTGATGGCGATTTGCTCCTCCAGGTTCTGGACAGCTTCGGAGATCTTGTCACGGAGAGGACCGAAGACGGCTTTGGTTTCCTCGAGGGCGGTTTGCTATTGTTGAGGGTTAGGGTTATTCCAACGAATCTGTCAGGAGGACAGTTGAAGAGAATCATTTACCTCTTGCTTCAACATGTAAGGGGCGTTGCTGTCGAGGTCGGGCTTGCCGGCGGCAATCTCAGTCTGGAGCTTGGAGATGCGGGTTTCTTGATGGGCGAGCTCCTTGTGGTAGTAGGACTCTTCTTTTACGAGGCGGAGGACAGAGTTGGTTGCTCTCTCGAGGGGGGTGGGGGGTGCCATTTTGGATAGGTTTGAGTGGTTGTGGTTGGTTTGTAGAGGAAGAGGTGGGAGATGTAGAATGGAGGATGTTATATGAGCTTTGGTTTATTGTTTCTGCCTGATGGTGTTGATGGTGTAAGCGAGTGAGTGAAGCCTGATGAGGCAGGCTGTATGTTGACTTGGCTGCTGTTTGGCTGTGAGTGGTGGGGTTGGCGGGGTAAATTTGGAGAGTCAGGGTTATAGCGGATGAGGCAAGCTGCGCGATGGCAGGTGCGAGGAAGTTGGATGGGTTTGGCAACGGTTGATGGCGTCGTTTTTTGCAAAGCAGTTTGTGCGAGGCGCTTTCAATGTTTGTCCTGTTCATGTTCTACATTTATAAGAAGGCGGATAAGGTTGTTTAAAGAGAGGGTAAAAGCATTGAAATCTAAAGCCTTCAAGCATGTTCGGATTTACCAAAAAACCCAGACGAGCCTTCAACCATAGTTGAATGGAGTTAAACCTTACCCAAGCCCAATTTTGATGTAGGATATAGAGCTATGACAAGGAGATACTTTACCCCGTGACTTCAATGCTTACTTTGCCTAATCTGAAGAGAGCTCAAAACTCAAATGGTAGGATGTTTAGATATGTCGGATAAATGCATATCAAAAATATCAACATCTCTGTAACCGAGTACGGCCCCTAGTCTGTTTCGAAATGTTTCCAAATCCAACTCCAAGATTGAAACGCGCCAGTGTGGCTCTCCAGAAGATTCGGTTTCCCATTCATTGATAGCTTACCCCCGATTTGGTCAGGGTATCGCTGACTTAATGAGGCCGTCACTTTCCCCAGACAACAGCTCAAGCTTGGTGATGCTGGATGCCTCAAGGCCATATCATATATCCGACATTCTAGCCAGAAAACCTCCTTACAAATGCCATCTCTTTGCCATCCCACGTTTCTTGTCACATGGCCTTTGATTGGTGTCCCCCCACAATGGAAGGGCTGCAGGTGCAAGGCTTGATCGAAGTGACATGCGCCGGGGCGAAGAAGTGCCAAGCTAAGCCATGCTAGGATGGAAGCTCGGATGGGCTTAACCGAGTTGGGGAAGCTTTTGGACACGCCTCCGACCCCTGGTCCCGGTGGCCACTCAGCGCAAACTCCACCAACAAGCACTGCAGAGGGGCGACATCACTTTGTTGGAACTGGACACGTCGTGCACATGTATTTTGAACTTCCTAAATAAGACTGACCTTTTTTTTTATTCTTTTTTTTTTAAAAAAAAATATATCTTGCTCCAGCCCATATTTATCTCGCCTTCCCTTCAATCCACTCACTCTGGCCCATTTTCTTAAGAGGCTGCAACTCTAGATTTTCTTTGCGCATGGTCGTTCTCATAACCTCTTGCGCTTCCCTGAATTCGCAGGACACTCGACAGGGCTTTCGAGTTTGAGCTTTTCTTCTCTGACAACCAACCACCTCTCTATCTTTAAAATACCAGCCTCTTGGGTTTAGAGACCGCCTTCGCTTTCTGACAAAGAGCGACACTTTTCCACTATACTGCACCAGCCGGAACACGGCAGAAGTGCAATAATGGACAACGCCTTCGCGCGATCGTCCCAAGAGGTGCTCAGCACTCTGGGCGTAAATCCAGCAACTGGGTTGACAGATGCCCAAGTCAAAAGCTTACAGGCGAAGCATGGTAAAAATGGTATGTAGTTGATGTTAGGTTTATGCTTCGCTATCGCGAACGTCGATCCCTTGGCTAACTGGTCTGTTCTCTGTAGCTATCGCCGAAGAACCGCCTACTCCATTATGGGAACTCATCCTTGAACAGTTCAAGGACCAATTGGTCCTGATCCTTCTCGGTTCCGCCGCGGTTTCCTTCGTTTTGGCTCTCTTCGAGGAGGAGGGTGGATGGAGCGCATTCGTCGACCCGGCCGTCATTCTCACCATCTTGGTTCTCAACGCCGTCGTCGGAGTCTCGCAAGAAAGCAGCGCCGAAAAGGCCATTGCCGCCCTTCAGGAATACTCAGCCAACGAGGCCAATGTTGTGCGCAATGGGCAGCTTCACAGGATCAAGGCTGAGGAGTTGGTTCCGGGTGACATTGTGGATGTTTCTGTGGGCGCTCGTATCCCTGCCGACTGCCGCTTGATTTCGATCCACAGCAACAGCTTCGCTGTCGACCAGGCCATTCTTACCGGAGAAAGCGAAAGTGTGGGCAAGGATAGCGAGGTTGTTGTCAAGGATGAGAAGGCTGTGAAGCAGGACCAGGTCAATATGCTTTTCTCGGGCACTACCGTCGTCACCGGCCACGCCAGGGCTGTGGTTGTCTTGACTGGTTCCAATACGGCGATTGGCGACATTCATGAGAGTATCACGGCGCAAATCTCCGAGCCGACCCCTTTGAAGCAGAAGCTCAATGATTTTGGTGACCAGCTCGCCAAGGTCATCACTGTTATCTGCGTTCTCGTCTGGCTCATCAACATTCCTCACTTCAGTGACCCCAGCCATGGAAGCTACGCCAAGGGTGCCATCTACTACCTCAAGATCGCTGTCTCGCTTGGTGTTGCTGCTATCCCGGAAGGTCTGGCTGTAGTCATTACCACTTGTCTCGCTTTGGGAACTCGCAAGATGGCAGCCAAGAACGCAGTTGTCAGAAGCTTGCCCTCTGTTGAGACCCTTGGAAGCTGCAGTGTTATCTGCTCCGACAAGACCGGTACTCTTACTACCAACCAGATGAGCGTCAGCAAAGTTGTCTATCTGAGCGCCAATGGCACTGGGTTGGAGGAACTGGATGTCGAGGGAACCACATTCGAACCTCGGGGCGATATCAGGTCTAACGGCAAGGTTGTTACCGACCTTGTCCAGGAGTCCTCAACCATCCTTCAAATGACCCAGGTCGCCGCCCTCTGCAACGATGCCCGCCTTGATTACCACTCACACACTGACAGCTACTCCAACGTCGGCGAGCCTACTGAAGGTGCCCTTCGTGTTATGGTTGAAAAGGTGGGCCCTTGCGCCCCTGCTGACTGCAACCCCAAGGACCGTGTTCACTATGCCAGCTCTTGGTACGAGAAGCAGTTCAGCCGCCTTGTCACCTACGAATTCTCTCGCGATCGCAAGAGTATGTCAGTGCTGGTGCAAAACGGAAACTCCCAAAAGCTCTTTGTCAAGGGCGCCCCCGAGTCGATCATTGAACGCTGCACCCACACCCTTGTTGGCCGCGATGGAAAGAAGGTCCCCATGGACCGCAACCTGGCTGATCTTCTTCTGAAGGAAGTGGTTGATTATGGTAACAAGGGTCTTCGTGTTATCGCTTTGGCTAGCCGTGACAACGTTCAGGGCGAGTCTCTCCTGCATAAGGCCAAGTCTACCTCAGAGTACGCCCAACTGGAACAGAATCTTACTCTCCTTGGTCTCGTTGGTATGCTGGATCCTCCTCGTCCCGAGGTTGCTGGCTCAATTCAGAAGTGCAAGGATGCCGGTATCCGTGTTATCGTCGTTACCGGTGACAACCGCAACACTGCTGAGACCATCTGCCGCCAGATTGGTGTCTTTGGCCCTGACGAGGATCTCACTGGAAAGAGCTTCACTGGTCGTGAATTTGATAATCTGAGCCACAGCGAGCAGCTTGAGGCGGCCAAGAACGCTTCTCTTTTCTCCCGTGTCGAGCCCACTCACAAGTCTAAGCTTGTTGACCTCCTTCAGTCCCTTGGCGAGGTTGTTGCCATGACTGGCGATGGTGTCAACGATGCTCCTGCTCTCAAGAAGGCCGATATTGGCGTTGCTATGGGTTCTGGTACTGATGTCTCTAAGCTCGCAGCTGACATGGTTCTGGCCGATGACAACTTTGCCACCATTGGTGTTGCCATCGAGGAAGGCCGTGCCATCTACAACAACACTCAACAGTTCATCCGGTATCTCATCTCTTCCAACATCGGCGAGGTCGTTTCTATCTTCCTTACCGCTGCTCTTGGCATGCCTGAGGCTCTTATCCCTGTTCAGCTCCTCTGGGTCAACCTCGTCACCGACGGTCTCCCAGCCACCGCCCTGTCCTTCAACCCGCCTGACCACGACATCATGAGACGCCAGCCCAGAAAGCGCGACGAGGCCCTTATCGGTGGCTGGTTGTTCATCCGCTACCTGATCATCGGCACCTACGTCGGTCTCGCCACTGTGGCCGGTTACGCCTGGTGGTTCATGTTCTACTCTGAGGGTCCCCAGATCAGCTTCTACCAGCTCTCCCACTTCCACCACTGCAAGACTGAGTTCCCCGAGATTGGCTGTGCCATGTTCACCGATGTCCGGGCCAAGGCCGGCTCTACTGTCTCCCTTTCTATTCTCGTCGTCATTGAGATGTTCAACGCCATGAATGCGCTGTCATCGAGCGAATCGCTGCTCACGCTTCCAGTGTGGAAGAACATGATGCTTGTGTATGCCATCGCTCTGTCGATGGCACTTCATTTTGCCCTGCTTTACACCCCCTTCTTGCAGACTCTCTTCTCTATCTTGCCTCTGAATGCGGCTGAGTGGAAGGCTGTGGTGGCCATCAGTGCGCCAGTTGTGTAAGTTTAGCCTCTTTTCCTTTATACGCTAATGAACACTTTGCTAACTTTGAATTTGCAGTCTCATCGACGAAGTGTTGAAGTTTGTGGAGCGCAGGTTTTTTATGCAGACTCCAGTGTCGAGCTCTGCTGTGGTCTCTAAAGATAAGAAGGATCTATAGAGGAGTTACAGGAGAAGAATTAGAGAAGACATATAACAAGACAAAAATGATATTTGGGCGGTAAAACCGCACGTATTAAACGATATTTAGACACTGTACATGAAGCGTAATGATATAGCATTGCTTTAGCACAGATACCATTTGACAGATGCAAATTGCATTTCCCATCTTCTGAGGACAATTCTTGTATCAGATGGAAAACTTGATCCTTGACGGTGGTCATTGTATGCTCTCAAAATATCATTTACTGTTACAACGCCTAGTATGTCCCAACTCCCGCCTGCCACAGAAGAGACACAGCGGTTGCTACCCTTTGCCCAGGTTCATTCCCTTGATCTAAAACATTTCTTCTTCTTCGTGCACCCTTTCTAATCCTGCCGTCCCTTGAGCAGTCTCTTGGTCACCTTGTCCTTCTCAATAATGTACACATGAGCACCCCAACCGGAAAGGGCATCTCTGTCGACGGCGTTGAGAAGGGACTGGGAAATCGTCTCGAAAAGCTGATCAGGGCCCTATATCATTCTCCAGTCAGCATTCTCTCCCTTTTTGATATTTCCGAAAACACTCACAAGATTCGGCTCCCACAAACTCTCACACATGCCAAACAGCTGCTCCGTCGCCGTCCCACTGACAATAAAGTCCTTTGCAAAATCAATGCACCCAATACTATCAAACCCGCAGATAAATGGCTGGCCCGTCTTGGGGTCCAGCCCCGCAACGACGGGGGAGACAAACCACGGACCGAAGCGGCGCTCGTACAGGGAGGAAGATACAAGGTTGGCAAAGGTGCGGGGGGCGATCTGGCGCTCTTCGCGGAGGCGGTACATGTTTACTTTGTAGCGGAAGAGGTCCGAGACGGTGGCCACGTCGGTGGCGAGGCCGGTGAGGCCGAGGAAGACGTTGTCGCCGTATTGGAAGATTTTGGGGAAGTTGTTGGAGACGGTGAGGGCTTGGAGGCCGAGGCGGAGGTCGCAGGCTATGGCTACGCAGTCTTTGCCTACCATTGCTACGCAGGCGCCGCCGTCTGGAAGGGGGGG